TCTTCCTCTCCCCTCCCCTCTCCTCTCTTCCCCTCCCCTCCCTTCTCCTCTCCTCTCTTCTCTTCTTCTCCCTCTCCCCTGCCCTCTCTCTTTCAGTTTAGCTCTGCCCCTTAAATATTCTGAGGCATTAATTAGAAACAAAGAAATGACATTGCAAACAGGCTCAGGCCTCCTGACCACAGGTCCAGTAGGTCCTTTGTGAGTAGGTGAACATGTCTCTGTGTCTGTCTGGGTAGCGACTGGGGAGCAGGGGATGATGCCAGGCTGGCTTCTGCAAGGAGTACAGCAGGAACCGGGTGCTCTCTTGAAGTTGCTGCCCTCAGGCTCCTGCTGGGGACCTTGTACTCTGCTCACTGACAACTGAGCCTGATGAAATGTCACCAACAGTCAAAGAGCCCCACAGCAGGACCTCGAGAATATTGGAAGAGAGTGGGACTTTGGGGGTGTCAGCACAAGTCCCACAAAGATGCCTTTCAAAGACAGCTCTGGACTGTGGTGATCCTTGTGATGGGGTCTGACACCACCTTTGCCAGAGACTCTCTGAGAACATTGTGAGTCACCTGGGCAGAAATCACAAGAGGCCATTCACAACGCACTCTAACCAATGAGCAACACAGCCCAGCACCAGCTGAGCTGGATTGTGGGAAGACTTCTGAACCAAGCAGGCACTTTGTTTGCCATTTCCATGGTTTTAGCAAGTCTGGAGTTTCCCCCGGAAGCCACTCCTCCTTCAGGACCTCCTCAGGAAGCCCTGCTTCCCTCCACCACCACCAAACAGCTTTGCCCCCTTGATCCCACGTTGCTGTGTGTGTGCTCCTGGCTCACCTTGCTTTTGCAGCATCTTTGGATGCCTGGGGTACTGTGGAGCTGAACTAATGCTATCAGAAAGGAGGATTCTACAGCCACAGGCAAAAGGCCATGTGGTGACCACGACCCTGAGCCCTTGGATGCTTGGGGTCTACTCATTTGGTTCTGCACGTTGTGCCCCTTGAGGTAGGCTGACCCTGAATCTGTGTCCATGCAAGAAAGAAGTGGAGACATTGATCATCACCCTCACCCCCATGCTGAATTTGCAGTTGGAGATTTCTGATGAAAGCCGTGTTAGCTTTTTAATTACGAGCCCACTAGTTCATAAGATTCAATTACAATGGAAAATCAATGGACGCCTTCTGCAAGGTGATGGATGCCAGGCAAGAAATAGCAATGGGAGGCTGTAGGTTGGCAGGGATGGATGACGGCCTGCCCTGCCTGTGAGTCGACCTCGGTCAGGACTCAGATTTATTGGGAGCCGACCTCACCCCAGAAGCAGCTGCTGTTGATGAGCACAGGGGCACATTTCAGAGTGTGTGTGTCGGGGGGGCTGCACAGGACTCCACAGAGCTCTGACCTGGGGCTTTGGAGAGTAAACAGATGCCAAGAGGTGGTCAGACTCAGAGAGCGCGCGTGGGTAAATAGCTCCTCCCACTCACATGAAAGTCCATCCTGAGGACAGGGAGGGGGTGTAAAGGTGAGGGCCAGAGAGGAAGGGATAAAAGGGCTTGTACTCCTGGGCATGTGCCAGCTGTGTTATCTGAGTCAAGTCATCAAAGGGGAAGGCTGCATTTCACAACAGCAAGTGTTCTGACTGCTCCGTCTGTGCTCCTGAGCATAGCATTAAAGGATGGCCTTTAGAACCTAACGCCCATGGCTCAAGTCCTAGGGCTGATTCCATGACCCTAGCTCTCCGAGGCCTGGATTGGTCTGTCATGCCACATGGGGGTTTGTGAGGACGGAAAGGGCTTCTGCCTGTTTCTTATCGTGCTGACAAGGCACGCGGGCTCGGCAGCATCTGGTGATTATTTTACACACAGGATGGGCAACACATTACCATCAATCAACATTATCATTCTTCTTAAAGTTGTTGAATAGCACCAAAATTGCTGAGTTTTTATTTCTGCTTTCAGTATTATCAGGAGATGCAAACCAGTATGGCCAGCTGCAGCCTGAGGAGTCAGGACTTAGGGACCTTAGAATTTCTCGCCTGGTCAGAATGAAACAGAGTTGGGATTTATCGAAAAAAGAAGTTCAGAGGGAGACAGCTGAATGGCTATATATAGTCACAGGTGTGATTTACAACCAGCTCAAATATTAAGCGAACTTTAAAAAGTAAGTTTCAAGCCAAGTGTAATTGCTCACGCCTTTCATCCCAGCACTCGGGAGGCAGAGACAGACAGATCTCTGTGATTTCAAGATCAGCCTGGTCTACAAAGTGAGTTCCAGGACATCCAGGACTACACAGAGAAACCGTGTCTCAAAAAAAGAAAAATTAAATTTCAAATGCTTTTGTGAACATGAGTTGCTTACTCCTTCCTCTTATCTTTAAGAATGCCCTTCTGTCAGTGACACTGTGAGGTGGTTTGTGTCGGGCATAGTTCATGCTTGTGAATGACAGAGACATGGAATAGCTTAAGCTCAAAGGCTGCATTGAGACCCTAAGTAGGCAGGGTCCTTTAGCTGGCCTGACACCTCCTTTGGACTGTCTCTGAGAGGAGGGGCGTCTTCACCGTGGGTTTTGAAGACTGGTGTTTTTGATTTTGTTTTTGAGAGAAGGGGCATCTTCACCGTGAGTTTTGGAGAGTGGTGTTTTTGTTTTCTTGGGTGACATTCTTAGCTCTCAGCCAAAGAGAAATAGAAACTAGGGTCTAGAGTGAGGGTCTCTTTCCTCTTTTCTGCCCCTTCATTTTTTCTCTCTCATCCTGTCTCAGGCTGTCCCCAACCCCCTTGCTCCATTCTTATTTTTCCTTCCTACTGAAGAAGCAAGGTGTCAATAGGTGCCCAGAAAAGGCACGGTGGATGGAAAGGAGGGCAGGTAGGGGTGAAAACTATGTAAGGAAGGAATACGAGGGGGATGTTGACTCCGGCTGGGTTTTCAAAAATCGAGTTTTTTGTCCTGTCCCTGTGTGTCTGATGGGAAGGTCACCTCCTTTTTCATGTGACAGCCGTGGTGGGGGAAAGTCGTTAGCCGTAGGCATGCCCTTGGTGTTGGTCCTGTTTGTGCTAGTTTTCTTCCTGGGCAGCTGTAGGAACTGTATGACATCATCAGCTGTGGTCATTGTTGGCCAGTGCTGAACTAACTTATGACATCATCAGCTATGGTCAGTGTTGGCCAGTGCGGAACTGTATGACATCATCAGCTGTGGTCAGTGTTGGCCAGTGCTGAACTGTATGATGTCATCGACTGTGGTCAGTGTTGGCCAGTGCTGAACTGTAATGTATGCCTCTGTGACCCAGTGTGACCTTCTGCTCCTATTCTGCATCAAGTCTAGACTTCATGTTGGACTGAAGCTCATGGGTGCATGGTGGATGCCAGATGGCACGTGACATCCTCTGCCCTGAACAGGCACCATTGTTAGTGCCTAGGGTATAGGCACTGGGGAATGTTGGTAAAATGAAGTCTGGTTGTGTGGAGCTGCTGGGGACCTGCATCCTCAGCATTGACCTCGGAGGGGATGGAGCAACAAAGCCCATGATCGAGTCTCCACTGAATTGTGGAAGATTTAGCAAAAGTTACAGACTCTTGTCCAGAAAATGTCTTGCATACACCCAATTCTGTGGCAATTCCAAGTTGTTCTAGAACTTCTTCTGAAAGATACCCTAAGTATGCCTGGCTGTTTTATTAGGAGCCCCTGGGACTTGCATACCTAGACCCGACTGGCTAGGCAGCATGCTCCAGGGACCTACCTGCTTCCACCTTGTGATAATCGGGCTTCCAAATGTATGCTGCTGTATTCGCTTCTTTGTATTACACTCAGGTCCCCATTCTTTCAAGACAAGTATTTATCAGCTAAACTGGCCCTTTAGCCCTCTGGTGAGAGAGACATTTCACATTCCAGACGTAACATTCAACATGGTATCCATTCTCTAGTCCAGGAGGTCTGTGCCCCTGGCTTTCTCATCAAGCCGGAATACCCTTCCTCCATCTGCACAGCCGAGCCCTACTCATCTCCAGACCTGCTCCAGAGCTCTCCCTTGAGCAGAAACAAGCTGGTGCCTTTTGGGTGACCGGGATGAACTGTCACTTCCTTTACTGCCCTCACTGCTACTTTATTCTCAGGGTATTTGCCACCTGACAGACTCCCCAAGAACCCATTGCCACATTGTGAAATTAAACAGTAGTCACAAGAGGAGTTAGTGAACATGAACACTTCCCAAGAAACATCAGGTGTACTGTTTCTGACATTTGACTGTATCTGCAGTGGCCAACCCCTCATCCACATTACAGGAACATCTCTGCCATAAATAAGCTCATAATTATGGTTGTTATATTTAAAAGGATGATACAGAGGGAAAGTAAGTAGAGGAGATATTGGGAGGTGTGGACCTCTGTGCTCTCTTCTGCCTACTTATTCTTCATTGCTGCAGCCTGACATCCAGACCACATGGTGTCTGAGAGCCTGTTGTAGCCTATAATAGATAAGCAATTATCTGTAATAACACTCTCTTGAGACAGAAGAACCTGGCAATTTGTTACCACCAAGGACGTGTGCCCCAGCTCCTAACAAAGGAAATTTGCTGCCCTGTCCTTAGGGAGACAGCCCTGATAGCCTTCCAAAGGTCTGTGATGATTAGGACCCAATTGAAGAAGATGGCTGAAGTTACTACAGTCTAGTTGAGAACCCTGAAGGGAAGCTGTGGACAGAGACGTCTTACCGTGTATCCTCTCAGAGCCTGTCTGCCACCTTAAATCTGGGTCATCCTCCTTGATCACTGCAAATCGTACCTGATAGCAGGAATCCCGGCATTATAAAAACAGCATTATCCTCAAACCCACCTCTCTGGAAGCATCCGTTAACATCTTATATTCTATCTAATTTTTTTTCTAACATACATTTCACAATAAAATAAATTCCAAGGATTATAATTCAAACAGAACGAGGGCTGGGTGAGACAGAAGCCAGGGCCTCGTGGCCTTTGGTCACGTGGGAGAGCACTAGTTTCCAGGGCTTCTTGACGTGATCTTTAACTTTACTTTCTTGACTGTTTTAGGGAGTGGCCGAGGCTGAACTGGAAAAGAACATGAGTCGAACTTTCAAAACCTTCTTCCGAGCAAGCGATGAGTTGGTAAGAGGTGGGAGATGGGGCACATGTGTGTGTATGTGTGTTTGCATATGTGTGCATGTGTGTGCATACATGTGAGTATGTTTGTGTGTGTGCATCCGTGCTTTTGTGAACTCACATGTGTTTATGTTTGTGCATGTGTGCATTCATGTGTGTGTGTGTGTGTGTTATAATTTTGCTTTATGACCTCCTCGTTAGTGACATTTAACCTGTACCAGCCTGCTTGTTTGGACTTTGGACCCACTCTCTTGTGTGGGTCATTGTTATTTCTGTCCTACATTCTGGTGGCAGTACCAACCAGGCTCACTTCTTTGTTTGCCTCACACCACAGGAGTTCCCTGCTCCCACGACAGTGTGACATCAAATGCACATGCCTGTGAAGGCAGGCCTCTGCTGACGGCATTGGGGAGGCACCTTTTGGTTTGCTCTTAGTCCTGAGCGGAAGCAAATACATTTTCCATCTGCCTGCCATGGGTAGACTTTTTCATTTTACCTTTTCATGGATGCTTCTGCACACTACGGAGCCCTCCCTAGGTTGCCAGATTTCCCCTATGGCAGGGCAGGGAGCCACTTGCTCTAATTCCCCACTTTCTATAAGTCTGAGTTCTCATCTCTTGTTCACACTGACTAACAAGTGTCCGCAGCAGCTGGAGATGAGAACTTCATCTGGCTTCTCTGACCCTGAGAGGCCCTTTTGCTGCTTTTCAGGGTTAGCATGTGTGTTACAGGATGGCCCCATTTGCTATTTCAATTTCTATGATTTCAGTTATTCATGGTTACCCATGATCCAACAATTTCAAAAGGGGAAATTCTACAGACAGTGTCTAAGGTGTAAATTATCCACAATGATAAGTGTAACGAAATCCCCCATCATCCTACCGGTGTGAATCTGCTCTCTATCGACATGGGGGTGTTTCATTACAACATTGCTGTAAGCAATTATTCTACTGTAGCATTGGCTACCATTTCTGGTTATCTCATGGTAGTGCCTCATTAATGAATCAAACATTATCACAGGTATTGATTACAGAATATGCACAGAGTACAGCTCCAATGTCCCGGGCTATCTTTGGTTTCCAATGCCTGTATATTTTAGCATATATCCCCACATGAAAGGGTTCTCCCATGGTCCTTGTGCACTGAAGGTCCTGTCATGGGGAGTCTGAGCTATCATCTTCTGTAACATGAGAGCCTGCTCATTGGGGTTTCTGTCCTGCCCGGGACCCCACAGCTGGCAAGCCTCCAAAGAAAAAAATCACACAGAGGTCTGCGTAAGTTATAAAACTGATTGACCCATTAGCTCAGGCTTCTTATTAGCTCTTGTAACTTATATTAACCCATTATCCTTGTCTGTATTAGCCACATGGCTCAGTACCTTTCTCATCAGGGCAGCTCACATCTTGCTTCTTCGGTGATCTGGGAAGAACTGCGGAGGAAGCTTCCTGCTTCCCAGAATACTCCTGTTCTCATCACCCTGCCTCTACTTCCTGTCTGGTTGACCCACCTATACTTCCTGCCTGGCCAATCAGCTTTTATTTAAAACGTGATTGACAGAATACAGACAATTCTCCCACACCAATCTTCTGTCTTTGCCTCATTCACAGCATCCTCCCTAACTTTTCTTCCCACAGGGTATGCTTGCTGTGCATAAAGCCACTGAGATGGGTAAGAGGTATCCCTGGGAGGGGAGGGACGAGGAGGGGAGGGGAAGAGAGGGGAGGGGTAGCAGGCCCACATCAGCGGAATTTTCATGGATGTCTGTCCCTTCTGCTCCTGAAGAAGCCCTGAGCTTGCCTTACTGTTCTGAGCTCTGACTTACCCAACAGAAATCCCCTAACAATTAATGATACTACCCTAGTCTACCCTACAGGGAGCTGAGTGACAAAGTCCTAAGATGCATTGGGGAGTGTATCCGGAGCAATCCACCCCTTTCTGGTAGGGACCCCGTCCCAGGATACAATGGTGGCTGCTGTAGAGTCACCAGTGTGCACAAGCCAGGTTGCACTAGACCCATGTATATCTCCACTGCCCTTCCACCCTGAGGTTCTGTTCTGGTCACTCTTGTTCCTACTCAGGAGGACCATCTTGGCCACCCTGCTGGGTGGAATTTAACTGAAATCAGGTCTGGACTCACCCCTGAGCCCCAACATCCAGGACTGGCCCCACAAATGCTTGCTTCACTCCTGGCACGGGCCGCCATAGCCATAGCCATTAATCATCTGCTTCTTAATAACAATGATCACCGACACTCCGAGTGCTTGACCTATGACCTCTCATATGACCCTTCGATTACAAATAGGCTGAGCTGGGGCCTGACCCTAGAGGTCTTCCCCTCTGAGGATATCTGCCTCCTTGCCTCCCTTCTTTTCTTTTTGGTGCCTTACTAGTTTGCTGATTCCATGTTCCGAGTACCCGACTGAGGAGACCTGGGCTGCACTGCTGCCCACGGAGAGCTCAGGGTGGTGCTGGGAGGCAGATCAGCAGTAAAGAAGTGGATATGCAGGTGGGGGCAGGGTGCTCAAATATGGGGCTAGGACCCAGCAGGGCAGGAGCACCATCTTGGTTTCTTAAGACGTTTGACCTTGAAGCCTGGGGTGATTGTGCCCTTTGCTTCAAGGACTGTACAATAAAAATGATGTGTTTGTCCCTGAGGAGCCTTTAAGGGCGCTGCCAGGACACTGCATGCCTCGTAAGATGACATGAAATTCTATATTGAGAACCCCACAGGAGGGAAGATCCCAGCCCCATGGGTTGGTGTTCCTCCTGGCCAAGAGGAAGTCAATGAAGAGAGGGCAGATGGACAGACACAAAGACATACAATCCCTTTATTCCAAGTTCAGACCGGATGGCCTGAGCTGGCAACACCAGTTATAGTACCATTCAGCCCACAGCGGGAGAGGACATGGGTGTCTTTTTGCAGGGGGACTCCTTGTGAACACCCCAGAAAATCCCAGCCTCAGCAAGATTACTACTGAGGAGGAAATCGAGTTTTATGTCCAGCAGTTCAAGAAGACCAGCTTCAGGTAAAAAGAAGGGAACCCCAGACAGGGGGATGGGGTGCTCAGCTGTTGGGGGATGGGGCGGTTACTCTCACCACAGCCCCTGTGAGCACCACAGTGACCTGTCTGTGACTGAATGCCCCCAGTGCCAGGAGGCTCACTACATATGCTGGGCAGCTCCCTTTGGCAGGGGTGGGTAACTAGCTTGTTCTTTCTTGTGTTTATGGGTCCCCCCCCCACAGAAGGGAGAGGTATTTTATTGATTTGCATTCCCAGATCCTCCAAGGATCAGGACAGCTCTGCATTCTGTCTTCTGAGAAGCAAAACCACACAAACCCAAATGTGCACATAGTTTGGTGCCTTCGCACCATCTCTCATTCACCATGTCCCCTTTCACTGAGTTTCCTGGGGCAGGAGAGTGGCTTCTGGGTGCGGGTGGGGTAGGGTCGGCTTCTGTTTGCCCCCAAAGCCTCTCAGAGGCACCAGCCTGGTGGCACAGAGTTCCTACATTTGGCCTCACTGAGGAAGCAGCAGATGTGGATAGGAATCGTGTGTCTGGGGACCCCCACTCATCCTCCCCGGCACAGTGTGTCTGGGTAGCATGGGTCAGTTGGGTCGCTGTGGGCCAACAGTGGTCAATTCCTGGAAGCTCACCTTCCTTACTCTCTGACCCTCTCCACAGAGGTCCTCTGAACTGGTATCGGAACACAGAAAGAAACTGGAAGTGGGGCTGTAAGGGAGTGGAACGGAAGGTGAGCACTGTGGCTTCCTCCTCCTCCTATGTACACACACACAGACACCGCTGACACACATACACACACCTGACACACACACATACACACACACACCTGACACACACACATACACACACACACACACACCAGACTTACAGATACACCCCGAACAAAGACACCACACACACACATACACACCAGTCATACACACACCAAACATACACACTTCGCACACAGACACCAGACACACATATACCAGGCTTACATACACACCAACATCTCAAGCAAAGACACCACATACACACACATCTATACCAGACATATACACACATATATTCACATGTACTCACACACATCAGACATGCACATCTTGCACACAGACACAAAATTCACACACACACTCTCTCTCTTTCACCAGACACACGCATGCATGCACACACACATACCAGCCATATACACATGTGTGCACACATACACATACCAGGATATACACCTTGACACCAAATACACACATATATGTACTGGATACACACATGTATGCACACACACACAAGTCATACACACATATTTATGTATACATGTACTTATACACACCAAACATACACACTTCACACAGACACCACCACACAGAGAGAGAGATACCACACACACACACACACACACACACACACACACCAGGTTTACATGCACACCAACACCTCAAGCAAAGATACCAAATACACACATACATATCGGACATGCACATGTATACTCACATGCACTTATACACATCAAACATGCACATCTTGCAAACAGACACCAAATTTACACACACATATGCACCAGACACGTGCATGCATGCACACACACCAGACATACACACATGTGTACACACACACATCTCACACAGACAACGCACACACACACACACACACACACACACACACACACTGGCGTCACAGAGCTGCCTTTAAGGCTTCCTGTTGCTCCCACCTGGCAGGACCTGGGTCCTGCACAGGGACCTTGGCTTCTTCCTTTCCTCTGAGATTGGGGTGGGCTCCACTCAGGGCTGCCTGTTAGAGCTTCTTGCTGCTGAGGCCCCTGGAATGGTGACTTCTGGTGCTGAGGATGAGCAGGGTCCTGGTCAGGTAATGACAACATCATATGGAATGTGTAAGTCTCCTGGCAGTAACCCAGGTCAGGGTCACAGATTGGCCAGGGTCCTTTGTGATAGTGATAAGGACAATGACACCAAACCACAGAGACATGCTGGGTTCGTAAACACATGTGACTTTTGCCTCTGACTGTGTCACCTTTTGGTTTTGTCTCTGAGTTTCAGTTTCCTCATTTGTCGGTCAGGTGGTGATTTTCAACCTCTGGGCCCAAAAGAGAATAATTTTGCATCCTAAATGTTAAAAATCAAAACTTGCATTTTTTTAACCATCACAACAGTTCAGGAACCAGGCCTTTATCAGCTCCCTCAAGAGCCCAGCTACCTCCTTCCTTCACTACATGTAATGTGTTAATAGACGGGCTTGATCTAACCCCTAGTGACCATGGAAGGTCACTCCGCAGTCATTGTCATCACAGTCATCTGTGATGGACACCTATGGCTAAGCTGCAGTTCCACAGACCACAGAGGTCAAGGTGTGGCGGGAAATAAGGAGGATGCTGTCGGGTTGACCGGGTCGTGCTAAGGCTGGATTTTAAGGTGAAATTCGTTTCAACCTCGCCATTGCACATCATAGGACCCTGAGGAGTGGTGAGAAGCATGGCGTTCTGCAGCGTCCTCAGCTAGGTCAGAATAACACTGCTGAAAAGTGACGTAAAAAGAAACGCCAGAGGAATGACGCATGCGTGTAATCCGGGCTTCTTCAGAGACTGGGACGGGGGATCCTTACTCAGCAAGACCCTCACTCAGACTAAAGTTAAGAGCAGGGAGGCCACAGTTCCACGCAGAGCCCTTGCTAGAGTGTATGTGAGGCTCTAGGTTCTACACTTAGCTACGAAAGGAAAAAGACAGGAAGAGAAAATGATGATCACGGAAGAGTGAGAAGAGAGCCCATGAGGCTTTCTCCCGCTTGCAGCGTCCGTCCCCGCGGTTCACTGCGTCTGTCAGTACACAGGAGGGGCTCATTTCTGTCCTTCTGGTAGCACACAGATAGCTGTCATGGCTGTCCCCTCATACTCTTGAATCTTGGCTTCTCCTTAAAAAGGGGAGTGGAGTGGGATTTCCTTTTATGTGTCTGAGTGTTTTGCCCGCATGTCTGTGTGTGCAGCAAATGTACACAGTGCCCTCGAGGGCAAGGAGAGGATGACCCATCAGCTGGAAATGGAGTTATAGATAGTTGCCAGCTGCCATGTGGGCCCTGGGAACCAAAATCAGGTCCTTAGACTAGATCATGGATCCTCTGGAAGGGCAGCAAGCGCTCTTAACCACTGGTCCATCTCTTTAGCAGTTGGCATATCTTTTTAAATCCAAAGGGGTCTTGTCCTCCATTAGAGGATCTCTAGCTTCCTTCCTGGTGCCATTAAATTGGTTCTGTGAGCTGAGATACAAGGTCAGCTACCCACCCACCTTTCTCTCTCTCATTCTCTCTCTCTCTCTCTCTCTCTCTCTCTCTCTCTCACACACACACACACACACACACACACACACACACACACACACACAGCACTGCATTGCTAGATCCAAATTTTGATGACTCCTCCTATAAAAGTTTGGTGGACACAGAGCCAGGGCAGGACAAAGGTCTTCTCATGGGGTGGAGGTGAGGCCTATTTGTGGCAGACGCCCAAGGCCTCCTTCCCTAGACGCAGGTGGCACCAGGGTGGCTGAGTGCCTGCTTCCCTTACTACCTGTTTCCCCCAGATCCTGGTCCCAGCCCTGATGGTCACAGCCGGGAAGGACATCGTTCTCCGCCCTGAAATGTCCAAGAACATGGAAAACTGGGTAAGAGAATGACCCCGCACAGTGGGCATCAGTGTTCACGGAAGAGAGCACATCTGCCCAGGAGGGAGGCAGCAGAGGAGGATGTCCCCGAACGGCTGGATGGAGACCAGCTAAAGCTCTGCCCTGACCCAGCTTCACTGCTGACGTCCCCATCCCCCCCCATGACACTCCCTTTCCCTACACAGATAAGCTGCCATTCCCCCTTCCTGTCCTAAATGACACAAGGGTCCTCCAAGGGTGGTCTACGGACATCATAGAGGAAGGGGTCCCCTCCAAGATGGCCTCTGCTGTGCATCACACTGACTCCACACTGGCCCAGTTAGCATTCTGCCGCTGATTGTCCTGCATGGGGGGGCTCTCTTTCAGATCCCTAACCTGAAAAGGGGACACATCGAGGACTGTGGTCACTGGACACAGATAGAGAAGTAAGGAGACTGGGTCCCTGGGTGAGGAGAGCGTGATTCCCTGGTCACCTGACCAATGAGCTCTGCAGGCTTGATTCTGCCCAACTCAGGTCTGCCAGGTCTTTTCACTCACGCTACCTCGGTGCGGGCAGTGGGTTCAGAGAGGTCAACGTGCCTTTGTTTCCCTTCTAGACCTGCTGAGTTGAACGAGATTCTCATCAAGTGGCTGGAGACTGAAGTCAAGAATCCACCAGTGACCTCCAAGATTTAGCCAGGAGCATCCTTTGCTAGGGACACATTTTAGTTTCTGGACATGGCCTTATTCAGAATTAGGAGTGTCCTTCTTTTGCCAGCCAGTGATTTTCTTTAAATAAACGTGATCAGATGCAATGCCATCTTAGATCCAGGAGAAAGTGTGTGTGGCTAATTCTCTGAGGATGATAGATACCACTATCAAGGAAGAAATCACACTCTGTCAGGAAAGTGGGGCCCCCCCAACCCCCATTGGTGGCTTTGCAGTCAAATCCAACCCTGCTCCTTTTGAAGCAGCCTATTCGGGACCTTCAGTAAAGCTAAGGCCTTGGCCTTCTGGTTCTCTGTGTTCTTGAGAATCCAGGCAACTGCTTGGAGAGGGTATTGGGGACCTGTGAGTGCTAGCCTCCGTGTCCCTTCAGGGTCGAGAAGATTCACAGTAAGTGTGGGACTTAAATCTGAGGGTGAAATGAACTCTCCACAACGTACTTCTCTATATCAGTTTCTTTATTCCTCTCCTGTTGTTCTCCTCTTGTAAAGCTTCCAGTTTATATACACATGCAAACAAAGGCAATTCTTGGAGCCTGGACGTCCCTTTATCTTTGAAGGTCCCAAATGTGACCTATATGAAAGACTCCTTTCCTGACTGCATGTCCTGTCAAATGGAAAACAGATGCAGGGAGGAGGCTTCTAACGCATCTCAGGGAACAAAGTGGAGATTAGACTGTGGGAACCAAGGTTATTGACTGTGTGACTAAATTTCCCACTTGGAGGTCCCACTGAGTGAAGGGGGTGACCCAGTATACCAGTACATGGGAAAGAGTTGTGCCCACTTATTCCTACTCTGCTGAATCGCACCAAGGGAGAGTGCTTATGACTTCCCAGGAGATCCACTGTGAGAATCAGTGGATATGCACAAATGGTAGGCCCAGTGCCTTGCGAACTGGGTTTGCCTCCATCAGAACGCATTCGTTCTGGTGGGTCAGCCTTCTGCCTTATCAGCTGCAATCTCACTGCATGATTCCTGCAGACCACATCAAAAGGGTACTTACTGTTTCCAATGAACAGAAGCCTTGCGTGGGCCTCCAAGGTGCTCTGTAACCTCAACCAGCTCCATCCAGGAAGCTTTCCTGAAGGACGCTGTGGCAGACTGTATTTGAAGCTCTGCCAGGCTTGAGCTGATCCAGTTTTGTGCCCCCCACCCACCCACTCAGACCCCTCCTTGTCACATCTAGGGAAACTCCAGGTCACACTGACCTTGTCCTTTGCAGTTGTCTGCCCTCTGTCCTGCTTTGGGACTAGAGTCTCATAGCAGCGACCTCCTAACCATCCGTCCACACCACCCATCGGATCACTCAGAGCTTCCCCTAGGATAAAGTCCATGCTCTGAGGCCCACCTAGCCTGGCCCCATTACCCCACGATTCCTATTAATAGCTGCCCTCCAGTTTTTCTATCCTTGAATCTTGCATTCATGTGAGACAGGTTCTCTTGACCCTCTGCCCGAGCTGCATGCTCTCATATGGAGTCTTCCAGCCGTCTCTTCTTGACCAAGGCCCAGTTTCAGTGGTGTGTCATCTCCCCTTGCTGCCTGCCCCACCACACACACACACACACACACACACACACACACACACACACACACACACCTCTCCCCCCACCCCCAGGTGCAGTCCCTCATTCTGTTAACCTATCCAGAGAAACTTGACCACTTGACCAGCTGGGGACCTCAACCTTTAGTTCTAGTAGCTGAGTTTTTGTATTGAGATTCTACTTCCTAAATCTGAATCCAGACCAGCTGGCATAGACATCTGATCCGCTGCTTCCTTGCTGTGGTCTTACGAACTGGTTCCTGTGTCTCAGTTCCCTCAGTCTTAAAGAGAACGTCAGTAGTAGCTCGCATCAGATGGTGGTGGTGGTCAGTATCTATCCAGCTATGTGTATAAGTATACAATGTAGAATATGATACATATGCATGGTAATTCTAGACTGGGGGCTGCATGGAGGAACAGTTACAGTCCTGTGGTTGCAAGCACTCTTGTTTATACTAAGATAAGACCTTGGGGGGCTTTAGATCCTCGCAACACCAGGGTCACCTCCACCCCTTTTGGACCTTGTAACTGAAGGGCTTGTTTGCCAGACAAAATGCGATCTGATTTGGAAAGCCAGAAAACAGTGTTTTCCTAGCTAGCTAAATGCAGACTCATTTGTAAGGAAGAAGACTCTGAGAAGGCCCACCAATAGGAGCATCAGCAGACTACCCATTGGCTCAAGTTCAAATTGTCAGCACCCCATAAACCAACAAAATGCCTCGTACTTCCGAGAGCCGGATGAACCGGGCCCATAGCACCGCAACAACAGCAGCAAAAAGTTTTGCAAGGTTGAAGGTCATAAGTGATGCTGGATGGGCAAAGGTCTCTATGTTATGTAAGAAAATAACATTGTGTCCATATGGTCAGCTCTGGGGAACTTTGGGCAGCAGTTAAACTGATGTATGTAGCTTTGGCAGCCAAAGGGTGAACTGGGGTGAAGAGTTGTTCTGGTGCCATTTTTAAGTAGATTTGCTTGGAGTCTCTCCAAAATCATTTCACTATAAATAATACTCTTATTTCATTCCTACTGAGGGTGCAGCCAGTATAGTTCTGTCTCCTTAAAGAAGCACCCTTTTTAAAAGAGGCAGCTCCATAGCCATAGTGGGGAGGAGGTATGACATCAGAGAGATGAGATGACTCACAAAGTCCAGGACTTCCAAGAAAAGTACCCTCCACAAAATGGGTCTGTTAGAAGCTGTTTGTTGGTTTTTATTTGTTGTTGTTGTTGTTGTTTTATTTTGTCTTGTTTTTGTTTTGTTGGTTTTTGAGACAGGGTTTCTTTATGTAGCTTTGGAGCCTGTCCTGGAACTCTCTCTCTGTAGACTGGGCTGGCCTCAAACTCACAGAGATCTGCCTACCTCAGCCTCCCCAGTGCTGGGATTAAAGGTGTGTGCCACCTCTGCCCAGCTTTATTTCTGTTTTTCTTAAAGTGTGATGAAGCCATGGTTTTAGGCCTTGGGAACTGTTAGTCAATTTGCATGTCGCCCATACCAATATTATTATCAGTGCATCAAGAAAAAGAAAGAGTACACACTGAAACCTAAGCGTGGGGACAGAAACAGGAACAGCCGAGGAATAGCTGTGTGTAGGAGACTGGATTTGAAGTTATACTGGTCAAAGGATATAACATAAACCATGTTTAAATATTAAAGTAGAACACTTTAAAAAGTTTAAGACTTAACACATACACATACAATGGATTAATGAACTAAAGCTGGCTTTCGGGGAAACAAAATTTACAGGCTCTTAGCTAGAAAAAGAAGAAAAAATTGGCATTCAAAATGACAACTCAGGGACTGTTGTATGGAAGTCACTTGTTTGTTCCTGGCTGCTCAGCCCCCAAATAATCACACAGAAACTGTATTAATTAAATCACTGCTTGGCCCATTAGCTCTAGCTTCTTATTGGCTAACTCTTATATATTAATTTAACCTATTTCTATTAATCTGTGATTCACCATGAGGCTGTGGCTTACTGGGTAAAGTTCCAGTGTCTGTCTCCGGCAGGGCTACATGGCTTCTCCTCACTCCACCTTCTTCTTCCCAGCATTCAGTTTGGTTTTCCCTGCCTAGCTAAGTTCTGCCCGCTATAGGTCCAAAGCAGTTTCTTTATGCATTAATGGCAATCACAGCATACAGCAAGGACTCCCACATCAAGGGACCAGAAAGCGATCAGGTCACTGATACCACAGAGAGATAAGAGAGCCCAAGGGGCTGCTAAGAGCAACTCTGTACCCACATGTCCATTAGTCTAGGAGATGGGAGCAAACTAGGCATAGCATCAACCCAGGTGAGCCCAGAAGAAACAGAAAACCCAAACAGGCTAGCAAAGCACAAAGATTTCAAATCAATAGTAAAAAGTTGCCCAGTGAGAAAAAGCCAGGATCAACCAGCATCACTTCTGTCTTTTAAAAAAAAGTATATCATTTATTAAACTATTAAGCATGAAACTGTCATGAGAGAATTATCCAGACTCATCCAACAAGACCAGTATTAACTACCTGATGCCATAAACCAACAAAAACACAACAGAAACTAAAGACTAGTAACCCTGATGAACACAGATATTTTAAAAATCCTCCACAAAATATTAGCAAAAAAAAATCCAATGGCCATATAAAAAAGTTTAGATACCAGCATCAAGTATGATTTAGGTCAGGTCTTTGTATGCAAAGCAAACACATGAGACAAATAATGAGACAAAGAAGAAATAATGACACAATAAGAAACTCCTAGGACTTAATATTAATGAAATAAAGCATATCTAATAAAATATGCAATATGTAATATTGAGATAATGAAGCTAAAGCAGTGAATGGGTGGAAATCAAAACATTTAAATGAGCATTGGGCATAAGGAGAAAAGTTTTTCAAGATCCTTTTCATAAAATTTTAATTCAAAAACTGGCCATGGGTAAAGAGAAAAATTATGATATCAATGTTATGCAAAAAAGGTCATTTATCTAGAGGCCAAAGTCTTTTAAAGGATATTATGGGAGAGGGGAATACCTAAATAACTTTTGCAAATATACTTGAAAACCCAGGGGGGACATGGACAAAACCTTTCAGAAGTAAACTGGATCACACAGCACAAGTGGAAAGAGACTGCATGGATATTTTTAAGAAATGAGATCTCCCACATTGGACAGAGGGCTGATCTCCAAAATATATGAAGAACTCAAAAAACTGATCATCAAAAGAAAAAATAATCCAATATTTTAAATGGGATTAAAACAAACTTAAACAGAGAACTCTCAACAGAGGAATCTAAAATGAGTGAAAGACACTTAAGGAAATGCTCAACATTCTTGGTCATCAGAGAAATACAAATCAAAACAACTCCGAGATTCCATCTTACACCTGTAAGAATGGCCAAGATCAAAAACACTGATGACAACTTATGCTGGAGAGGTTGTGAGGTAAAGGGAACACTTCTGCATCGCTGGTGGGAGTGCAAACTGGTACAGCCCCTTTGGAAATCAGTGTGGCAATTCCTCAGAAAATTAAAAAACAACCTTCCTCAAAACCCAGCAATATCACTTTTGGGTATATACCCAAAG